CCTGAGATTGTTTAGTTTATTATTCGGACGGCAATTGGTTGTGGTTTTGTCCCCCGGGTCACGATTCTGCTCCCTCATTCTGCGTGCTCTTGCCTATCTTTCTGCCTCTTCCGTTTTGTTTGCTTTCTGGCCCGGGTTGTATTATGTGTATTAAAGATGAGCAAATCCAGTTTTTCTTCAAGATTGTCGGATGTAATAGCGGGTCTAGGTTTATCGGGCTCTCGCGTGCCACGCGAAATCAAATCGAATCCATTTTTTGGTGACGTTTTTGGTATAGACCGTAAATAAATATTAATAAATAAATAAATACCCGTAGCAAGTAAGTCACCATTTGCATTTGTTCCGTCTTGATACAGAGGTCTACATTTAGATTCCTGGTGCGTGTTTCTTGCACTTAACTCGCCTCCTAAAATGAAATTATTTCCAAGTGAAAGGAAGGCTTGGCATAAGGTCGAGTCGATGATTTGAATCAGCAGTCGCATTGATATTTGAGTGTCCTGGCTGCACAGTTGATTACTCTATATAACGTGAGGTTTATGTGGCATATGTGGCAATCTAGCTCAGGATTAGAAAATGAAATAAAAGCGTGAGATCTTCCAGAGCGGACGATTCGTTTTGGGTATACTTCGGCCCTTCGTTACCACTTACCATATGGGTTGAGCGCCACCCAATTTCTACTTTAACTATCCCCGTATGAAACTGAGAAGATACGAGGGAAAGTAATAATTGTGTAAACCAATTAACGAGAAAAAATACTGGTTCATTCTAAATAACATCGATTCAAATTGTCTCCAAAATGGAATAACGTTAATTACAAAAAATATTCTCGTATGTATATGTGTTTCCCCAAACGTGTAAGTTAAACTTACAGTTAGTAGATGTAAAACATATAAGGCAACACTTGCGTTGAATAAAGATAGACGTTAACGCCAAGAAGTGAGCTCAGTTCCCGCATTCAATCCTAAAAACAATCAAAGACCAACCTCCCAAGCCGCAACTCGGTACATAGTTGGTTGATTAATGCCCGCAGGGCCTCTATATACTTGCTTCTAAATCGAGTTAGATATTTAACCTTTACATTTTAGGAATGGAAACAAAAGGTTAAATAAAATTATTATTATTATTATTATTAATTGGCGACCCCCTTCAGAAGAACGTGTCTCCAACAATATATTTTAATTAGTTACGGAAAATGTTGCAGATGATGGTCGATCCTCGATGTTGGCGACAAAATTTACCTACGATTGCCGTTGGAAGTTACATTACAGCAAGTTACAGCCGAACCCTAAAGAAGGTACACGATAAATAAGCAAGTAAGTACCTACTTACGTCAAAAGGGTAAAACGCACATGTACAACCTCCACTGGGAGCACAGGGGAATCCCGTCCAAACCAATCACTTCGGAATTCCGAAATTACGAATTCAATCACCAAAGATTGATAATATATTAGGAAGATGGCAATTAGAATTCAATTTCATTATCGCAGACCTGTTGCGATTGACTCGAAATTCCAGCAAATAATGGGCAATACTAGGCTACCGAATTTGGACATTTTAATTCGGCAAATTAATTAAAATGAGTTGCAACAAATCGCATCCGAACCAGTCGTAAGTGGTTTCATTAGAAGCGCGCTTAATTGAGCTAAATTTTAAGGCCAATGGCAGATTTTAATCGCAGGTCGCACAATTAAATAAAGAGACTCTAATTTTTGGATATAAAATTGTAAACAATTCAACACGCTGTGTCGACTTCGAAAACCGTTGAACCCTCCATGAAAAGGCCAAAGTTTTAAAAAGGTAAAGCCGTTGTTTAGAAGGGATTTTTTTGCCTTTGGTCTTTAACGGAATAGTAAGTTCAGTTTTTGTCAATTTTCACTGTACCCAGGTTCCGTTAACTTTAAAGGTAAGCATTTGTTATCTTCCTCCGTAAATCGTCAGGGGGGGGGGGGGATTTTTTTACTTTTCCAGCATTTGATTTCCCGTGACTTACGAATGTATGCTTTGTTGCTTGCGTTACCGTTAGGGTAATCGCTACCGTGTCCGTGTGACGTAACAGCCTGCCGAATTCTTGACTAGGTCGTTTTAACAACTGATTGTCTGCGGCTACCGATTGTGCCAAACCCCCGAGACGGTTCCGAAACCGCCGAACATGCCCAGGACCAATCTTCGGATGGCGTCCCTCCGTTCCGCCAACATCATATCCAAGTTGCCGCCGACTGCCGCTACTTTCGCCCGCCGGTATGATTGAATTCCAATTATTTGTAAATTTATTTATCTTTCTCTCATTAAATTTTAATTTTGATTTCCACTAATTATATTGTTTAAATTTTTATTCCATTAGTGCGCGGATTTCCTACCGAAGTTCTTCGCAGTTTCCATTCCTCCTTCCTTAACAAATTATTACCCGTTGAACAAAACTAGCATCTGCTTCACTCGGCGATAACACGTGCTTATCTCCAAATTAATTAGCTTAGGCAGCGCAAGCAACTGTAGATCAAATTTGACAAATACTACGCAAATATTCCAAAGGACAAAATAATTTTACAATAAAATAAACAAAACAAAGCAGTTATATTATAAACAATATTAACAACAAATAATTTTAAATAAAAATCAACCTCGACTTCGACATGATCGGCATTACGTTTAATCTCCAATAAACAACCACATTTAACGTTAACGAAAATTGAAAATCACATTGATCGTATTTTGTCACAGTAATAGAAGGGAAGTACGAGTACATAACAGCTCCATCCACTTTCTCATTGACTAATTAATGCATCTCGGTTTTCATTACGTGTAATGCTCTAAGGATCTAAAAACGTACCGAGTGGTACAGACAGCTGCTTGAATATTATAAAGTCATTTTCACGCTTTATAAATTGGCTCGTGCCACGAAAATCTGCTGCAGGTGTTCAACGGAGAATGTGTTAGCAATTTATAACGGGAATTAAATTAAATTCACTTACAAGCATTGCAGTACATCGATCCCTCCGGTTCGACTAAGAAAAAAAGGCAATCCTTGGATAATTAAATGAGAAAGCTCCATTGTGTAGTATGTCTCTTTCAAAGTAGTAATATAATATGCAGGGCACAGAAAGCGCTTTGAGATGAAGCTAGTTACTCGAAACATTGTTCATGTACCCCAATTGAACAGTGTATATTGTTCACTACGTCTGAAAAGGACCTCGGAACTGTCCTGTGTTTGTTTTAGAGCTGTTTTCATTGGCCCTTTTGATAGCCATACCATTTTCTACGTCTTTGTTAGAGCAAGTCCTAAGTTACTTGAGAAACGTTACATTTATATATTGAGTAAGAAGGTTGTCTTTTGGCTAATACTCCGGCTATGGGAATGTAAAATAAGGTTACAAATTATACTACAATTATAATACAATTCTTGAAATTTGGCTTTCCAGGTTCCAGGTTGAAATGATATCTTTGCGGACGTTCATATGGCAAATTTAAAGATTTTTTTAATAAAGGATTACCGAGTGTTATTGATGTCGGGAGCAATCGAAAATATACCATTTCCGTCTTCCCGCGCCACGATGTCACCGTTATTTAACACAACCGAAAAGATTTCCAGTAGAGAACGTTGACGACCTCTGGGTGGTGAAGTATTTGCTGTGCCACCAGTATTTGCCCGTTTTAGCTTGTGACGTACCCAGGCCAGCCTCGAAAAGCTGCGCAACTCAAGATTTAAATTAAAAACTTTCTCTCCCAAACTAACTGAACCCCATGGCCACAGATAAAATACCCTTTATCTGTGCCCATGGCACATGATCGTCTAGACAAAGTCACCTAACCTGGATAACGAAATACTAGGACCACTTACTACGTTGTGTTTTTTAAAGTCGCTACAAGTAAGGAATACAAATAAAATAAGTACATGCTTTAAAAACGAAGATGTAATCCAGGTAGTTCACCGAGTACAAATATGACAATAGGCTGGGAAAAAAGAACTGGCCAGGAAAAAAACCAGCCAACAAATATTAAACTGGCCTCTCACAAGAGCATTTCAATTCAATAATAATTAATAGCGAGTATTTTATCTTAATTGAGTTTTGATATAGCTTTTAAATAAAAACAAGAGAGGGATAAAATTAAAAAATTAAAATTAAAAATAAGAATTTCACGCAAATAATTAGTTTTCGCCCTTTTTTAGTGCAATACACGTATTATTAATGTTCCACGTTAAAATGCAATTAACTACGTTTCACTTTAGATCTTTAGACGGAAAACACCGTTCGTAAAATTTGTTTCCTGATACTGGTTGTGCAACAATGCCTTGATTGATTGTGGTAAAGCAGTAGTGGAGAGGTGGTTTCGAATCCCATCAATTGAATTTAAATGGAAACACGCTTTAAGCGCCATCATACGTCGTAATCCTTTCAACATTTTAATATTATTCAGCAACTGCCATGTCGCAATTTTATATTGGTTTGGCGAATTTATTTCGTGAAATGATTCCCATGTAGGCCGTTATAGTCCTTGAATTTTATGCGTCGGGGGATCTGGGCGGCCCCAGCTTTATAGCTGTACATATTTACCTTCCTCGTCATTCAGCAACACTAGCAATATTTTTGTATCTATTGTGTGCAAGCCATTGTGCTCTCCTCCCTTGTGTTTCGCACATAACCCTTTTCCACATCCCCACACGACCCTTTTCAGCGTTACGTAAATGATGGAATTCGTGCGTTTTTCCATTGCGAATGACTTATGTACAGCCAAATCAAAAGCGATATTTTCCCTGTCGAATATAATATGACAAATTCCGCAGCTTTCAACGGAAGTAAGAAACGTTCACTAAAAAATGATTTAGAGGTGCGATAATTCAAAGAAGCTACGGATTCAGACAATTCCTGAACATTTGAGGCGTAAGGTTACACTCCAGCGCGTCATTTTAATTGTTCGCGAATTAAAAAAACGCTTCCCGAATGGAGATTGATAGCTTGAGGCCAGTAGGGACGCTCGAACTACAATCGTGTTCTCTTTTGCAGATTAGATGGTTGACTGAACAGATTTCGCCATGAAATCGAGAAATGGATGGCGAGAATCGCATCATCCTTAATGTTGGAGGCATTCGTTTTGAAACGTACAAGGCGACACTAAAGAAAATCCCGGCGACCCGTTTATCTCGATTAACTGAAGCGCTGGCCAACTACGACCCCATCCTGAACGAATACTTCTTTGATCGGCATCCCGGAGTTTTCGCACAAGTGCTCAACTATTACAGGTACGTGTTCCTAGCGATTCTCGTGATTTCGCATTTACCTAACCTCGAGCGACTCCTTTACTGTGTTGTGTTGTAAGTCGAAGATTGACGACCAAATATAAAGGAGGACGCGTCTGTCGCAGGTGATTTATAAAGATACGGTAGTTTTTATTTAGCTTCCCTCGAGAGGTGTTATTCGCGGCAGTAGATGGATCGAATCTCTGTCCTCTATACCATGTTGCACATGAGTGCACTTTTATTACATTCTATTCCAGAATCCATTGGTGCTGCTGCTGGGGAAATGGTGATATTTGTAATTCACCAACTGGTAACAGTACTGCTAATATCGTTATTTACTGTGTGTTTTATGTACAAAGTAACGAGCGAAGCTATGAGACATTTATTGTACAGCAATTTGATTTACTGCTATAACTTTGGGATTAGGGGGCATGAAAGCAAAATTGCGAACGCGTTGATTTAAAAGAACATCAAGTATAATTGAGTGTAGAGTGCGAATTTACTATAGAATGGAAAGAATGCAAAGTGGAAGACTTCCAGAGTACGCGGTTGTTCGAGTAATTATCATTGTAGTCGTAGGTGGTGCCCTAATTAGGCCCTAGTACCGCGCTATTGAGGGTATTCTGCTTTCTGGGATAATCGTCTTGTAATGTTGTTGGCAGTCATGTAAATAGACACTGCGCAATGGCGTACGGTCACTACACAACCCACAGGACACGTATCTCAAAATAAATCAAAATTGAAACTCTCGATGAACTTGTTTATTATACAAATTTTGATGAACACCTGAAATATATCTTGGGCACCAATATAAAAAATTCTGACATGAAAATTCTATCTGGGTCGCACAAAGGATTCAAATAAACGCACAATTCATTGATAGACAATGACAAACATTCATTCCGAAACACACGAAACAAAATTCCTGATATAGTCCAGGCCCTAGAGCTGAAAACAGGGGTCCACCTTGCAAATTTCTGAGACAAAGAACCAAGATGCAGGGTTTATGTTTTTTGGGTCGCTGAATCCGAATTTGGCATTTGCACAATAATCTGCATGACGCGGGAGCCGCCATCTTGAAAAAATGGCGGAAAATCGGCGGTTTTTACACAAAATTCGTAATAACTCATTTGGTATCGGTTTTTTGGCGAAAAAAGTTCAGTAATAAATTAAAGTGCATAACATTTTCTTTGAGATGAGCCCTTGTTGATGAAAATCGGATAAAAACTAACGACACTACAGTGCGACGAAATTCGGCCCAAAAATGAAGTTTTCGCAATTTTCAATATTTCGCGCGCAAAAAAACGGAACGAACGTCATTCGCAAGCAGTAAGCTCTCCGAGGAGCTTTGAAGAACATCCAATTACCTTTAAAATAAGCCCAAGTTTGTTTAAATCGGACGAAAATTGATATCGCAACATCGTCTCAAAGTTTTTCCGATAAAATCGAAAATTTGCTGAATTTTGCAGTCGTCCACTTTAATCGCCCGAACCTACTTCTTTCGCCGAAATTAGCGCATTCGCGGTGAAATGAGTATCAAGATCATATCTAAGTTTTAAAATTTTTATTCACAATTTACAACATGATTTCTGCATTGAATGATTCAAAACGCCTTACTCACTAAAACCCCCGCCGCTCAGGTTGTGTCGATTTTGATTGAGTTGATCTGTGTATTTTAAGAACTGTACAAAAAATGTATACAGTAGGACCGTAGATTACCAACGAGGGCGCCAACTTTGAATGTGCTCGTAGAAAAAATGCAAGAAAAGATCAACTATACGGGTGGAAGCAAGGAATTGTTGAAACTTTTTGATATTTTTTGGTATAAAAAGTATCATGAGAAACGTAGGTTGTTAATGGAATGAAGTGACATGGTAGTATGGCGTTTTCGGTATTTAAGAAACTTAAAGACCTGTAACAGTTATATATGCTGGCAATCCGATGAAGTATCGGGAGTTTATCAATCCAATAGGGATGGTCAGAGGTACATCATATAGATCATGCTGGTGGTTGTTCTGGTTTTGTAGAGGATGGTTTGTTGTTGGTCAAGTAACGATAGTGATTGAGAAAAGTTAATAATACGAACAAGGGTTGTCAACGTCTGTACTGTCCCTATTCGATTCTTTTTTCTAAACTCGGACTGTTGTGTCTTTTCGCTTTTTGCTGGGATTTATAAGAGTTTCTATTCCGCGCTGAAGCACTATACCTACATAATTATTTAAGTGTTTTTCACAAATGCAACACTTTTTTATGCTTTCTGGTTCCATATTGAACGCTCAATCACCGAAAACCGAGCCGAAAACTGGAAAAAAGGAAAAACATAACTAATGGCCATTTGCACCGACAAATTTCAGCTGAGCTTAGCTTAAGCGTTGCTTAAAATCCATGACAACGATTATTGAGACAATGGTTGTTATGGATTTTGAAGCTACCCTAAAGCTGGATTCACATGAATACGAAATCCGACGATACGGTCATCCGAAATGCTGATGATTGGTCAATAATTTGAAATGTGCTTGACATTTCAAACTATTGACCAATCATAAGCATTTCGGATGACCGTATCGTCGGATTTCGTATTCATGTGAATCCAGCTTTAAGCTAAGTTCAGCTTAAATTTTCGGTGCAAACGGCCGTAAGTATTCCAAAAGCTGGACAGCAGGACGTTATGTTCTATCAACAGGAAATCCGACAGCAAAATTTGACGGGAATACGCGAAAAACAAAGGATTTGTTGGCTACATTCCAAAACCACGTATCCTGGGTGAACTGTTCGATGGAGATACATGGGCCCATATGAATAAAAGGAAGCATATGCTTATACTTGAAAAATTTAAAGTAAATACTCGTAAGTGCCCCCTCACACTGCGCTGTGTCTCGTCCCGCTGCTCAGCAGCGCTGCTAAGTCGCCAAGTGTGAAGGGGCTCTTACGAGTATTTCCATGAATTTTGCAAGTATAAGCAATTGCTCCCTTTTATTCATATTGGCCATGGTTTTGAAAATTAGAAAAAAGTGGGTTCTCTTTTGTTAAATGCTGCCCAAATATGCATTTGAATAACGAATGCCGAGTTTCTGACGAAACAGCCAATAAGGATATAACAAATCAAAAAACCACACTAAAAGAAGCAATTTTACGTCGATGATTGCCAAAAGTGTGGATTCAATTGGGTGTTCTTCAAAGTTCCTCACATTCGGAGAGCTTACTGCTCGTGAATGACGTCAGTTCCGTTTTATGCGCGCAAAATTTTGAAATTTGCGAAACGTCATTTTTGGGCCAAACTTCGTCGCACTGTAATGGCGTTAGTTTTTATCCGATTTTCATGAACAAGGGCTTATCTGAAAGGAAATTTCATGTACTTTAATTTATTACTGATGTTTCTTCGCCAAAAAACCGATACCAAATGAGTTATTTCGCGTTCTGTGGAAAAACCGCCGATTTTCCACCATTTTTCCAAGATAGCGGCTCCCGCGTCATCCGGATTTTTGTGGAAATGTAAAATTCGGATTCAGCGACCCAAAAAACATAAACCCTGCATCATGGTTCTTTGTCTCAGAAATTTGCAAGGTCAAATCCTCTGGGGCCTGGACTAATAGGCCAGCGGGCGTTTGGTATGTTTTTAGGAAATGGCTGAGTAGTGTAAATACAAATTTGCAACCACAAAAAAGCAAGGCGAATTTATTTCATTTTTTGGTCTTATCTGATCTCTTAAATGAGGCATTTTTGGTAAAACCATTCCGTAATCATTTTTAAATTTTCTACAATTTGGCCCAAATGCGGCTCTGTAGGTCTGATTCTAAATTGGGTCCCTTCGAAATTTGATCATTTTTTCAAAAAGTGCAAGTTTTTGCGAACTTTCGTGAGGAATATCGGCCCAAAGAGGGATCCTATAAGGAAAGTGTCGGTTACTTTAATTTGAAAAGCATACGATTGTAGACTGGGATCAGGTGCTCTGTCACCAGCATTCTCCCCTGGTGAGCATTTATTCAATGTGGCCGTGCACTTGGAGAAGGGAGAGTGACCGTGAAAAGTTCCTTGAAACAAGGATAAATGATGGCTTTGGGTGCATAAGGGGTTTTTCACCGGAAGGGGTGCATAGAAGAACACAATGCGTCACCATCGGTACCTCGAGGAGGGGATGATGCCAGACTATCGACATCACATAGGAGAGTGCAGGGCGGTACTGAAAGCACGAGAAATCATATCTTGGGAAAATTGAGTTTCTGGTGCGGTGATGAATTTAGTGAGGAGTTCTTAAGGAAGCGGGCAAAACAGGACAAATCAAAGCGCCCACGGTCCATCAAGTGGAAACACTTGATGTAAATGACTCGATTTTACAGCTAAATACACAGTGATGGTGATTGGGGAAAAAAGATAATTCTGTGGCTCTCGTGTATAATAATGATCTGGTTGTTGCTGAGAGAAAGTACTACCGTTACTGCTGGCTGTACACCTTAGCACGATCAACGGAAGGTAAAAGAGTGAGTCTTGAGCAATCTTCTCTCCTTGAGGGTGTGGATCGTATTTACATATACCTGGCAGAAACTAATGACGAAAACCTAAAGAAGCAGTATGAAGAAACAAATATCAATTGTGCAGATAAAGTGCATTTTATATACCTAAATGGCTTAGTAAATGATTGGATTATAAGGTAGTAGCATGCTGTATTTACCGATTAGCAATGGATACATTTCCAATCGCCCTTTGTGAGTACCCTCCTCCGACAATCTATTCTTGAGGTATAAGAAATTACATCCGATGAAGACAAGGGGTCGAAGAGAAGAACTATGGTTGGTAGAAATTAATCCCTTTCGTTGAGACTTGTCATTAGAGAACCGTAAACGATAAACGCAATTCCACCCCCTCCCTCGCAACCTCCTCTTTCCATAAGTAGTCAGAAAGGAGGGTGGTGGTTGGTAGAAAACGGTTCCCTTTGTCGTGACCTTTAATTAAAATACCATAAAAGATTAAATTACTTTTAACCCCTCGGGAACCGCGGGAGAAGT